CACAGTGGCTAGCACCCCTGCACCCACTCTTTGCTTCCTCCTTTATTGTTCTTCCTTCCACACCCTTATTTGATTGATATTTTCTAAATAACACTTAAAGGTGAGATTCCCTTTGGTACATTTATATATGTATATAATATGATTTTGTTAATTTCATTCCATATTTCTTCTCCTTTTTCCTCTCATCTAGTGTGGTTTTCAAATTTGTATTTATGTATATATTTTTGCAGCACTGGGGATTTAGCCCGGGGGTGCTCAGCTATAGCCCCAGATCTATTTCTATTTTTTATTTTGAGTCAGGGTCTCTAAATTACCAAGGCTGACCTTGAACTTCCAATTCTCCTGCCTTGGCCTTCCCAGGCTCTGGAATTCAGACAAGCACCATCATTGCCCCGCTCCAGTCTTTCATCTAAACTCCCTCTTTTCTCCTTTTAATTTTATGCTCCAGCCAAGCTGAATTTTTTCATATCTTGTCATATCCTGTTCCTGCCTAGAAATCCTCTCCTTGCCTGCTTCTCAATTTAGATGTCACATCTAATGCTGGATTAGGTGATACACTTACCTACTACTCTCATAGTGCTCGCTGCTTCAGCTCACAGATTTCATCAATTAGTTAAACCCCCACTAACTTGAACTCTTTGAGAGCAAGAAGTGGTTTAATTACTCTTGTGTGCAAGGCATCTAGATTAATGTTCAACTCATTTCGAATGAATCTAGAGGCTGCCTTCATTGTAGACTTGGGCAAAGGATTTTTAGTTTTGTTTTGCGATGTTGGTGATCGAACCCCGGTCCTAACACATGGTAGGCACGGGCTCTACGGCTGAGCTACGGATACCCCCAGTCATCAGGTGTAGGGCTTTGAAGTAGACCCTAGGAACTCTGGCCTTCCATGTTACGGTTCAAGGGTTCATTCTCAGGCACGGAGAAATGACAATTTAGGTTTAAACTTACTGAAATTTAAAATTTAGGATTGGGCATAGGTACAGCACGCTCAAAAAATTTTTATTTATTATTATTATTTTTTAATCTAGAAGCATTTTACCACTGAACTACATCGCCAGTCCTTTTTGAGGCAAGGACTTGCTAAATTACTGAGGCTGACCTCGAACCTGTGATTCTCTTGCCTCGGCCTCCTGAGTGGGGGGGGGCGGATTTCAGGCGTGCACTACCACACCCAGCTCAAACTAATTACTTTAAATA